AATCCAATTTACATAAAAACGAAAACTAAAAAAACTAAATCTTAATTAACCAGACAATTATATACAAATTTGTCACAAATTGTTATGCATATCGAACGTATAGATCGCTTGTCAAGGTGTGTATGCACAAGGATTTCAGGATCTGTATCAAAGGATTCAGATGTGATAAACTATCAACAAATTTGTAGCATTTGCATAAGTATGATAAAATGTTCAAAGCATATACGTCAACTACATTAACCTGATAGGTAATCTATAGCCATAACAACTTGGAGTTACCTCCCCTTACCTACTTTACCCCATATAATGTTCTGCAGAATATGTATTGTATTCCGCATGTACTAAGTTTGGAAAGGTCTTGTATAGACATAGCATGCTCCCGCCACCATTACAACCACCACCACCACCACCACCACCACTACCACCACAACCACCACTATCACCAACACCACCACCATCACCACCGCCACCGCCATCACTAACACCACTACCACCACCACTTTCATAGCCATAGCCGCCACCCCCACCACCACATCCACCACCACCACCGCCACCACCACTACCACCACCAAATAACGTCGTGCTTAAACTGTGATTCTGGTGCTATGTCTTGTTTGTTGGTCTTCGAAAACGGACCCTGTCCTCTGTTGGACTTTATAACAACGAAGTTTTATAAGACCTTCCATGACGCAGGATGTCATACCCCATTGCTGACTCGCTTGTTTGCACCTTCTAATCAACAGAGGGCGTTTTACTGGTCGGTGGGTGCGAAGTCGACTATTATTCAAATGTCTATAAAACGAGAAACGGAACCGGCTAGTCGTAGACACTAGAAGAGAGCCCATTTTCCAAGGGTAGACCGTTGAAAAAAAAATCAAGAAAATACCAACATGGCAACATAATTATAATACAAACTCAAATCCCATACAACTAGGGCAAGATATGAACAAAAGAAACATTAACACGGAGACTCCTGGGATAGTACAAAGGTGTTCTGGAAGAATAAGCGGCTTATGTTTCATCGACGACACCCGACATGTAAATCTTGGTCAATCCAAGTAAGTAATGTCATGTCTCAAATGAGAACAAGGTATACAATAACGGAAAAATCGGGCAAACTAACAAACTAACTAAATAATCACGACAGTCAGTAAAATCATACCTCTCTCTAAATAATCACAACAGCCAGTAAATCATACCTCTCTCTAAATAATCACGACAGTCAGTAAATCATACCTCTCTCTAAATAATCACGACAGTCAGTAAAATCATACCTCTCTCTAAATAATCACAACAGTCAATAAATCATATCTCTCTCTAAATAATCACGACAGTCAGTAAAATCATACCTCTCTCTAAATAATCACGACAGTCAGTAAATCATACCTCTCTCTAAATAATCACGACAGTCAGTAAAATCATACCTCTCTCTAAATAATCACAACAGCCAGTAAATCATACCTCTCTCTAAATAATCACAACAGCCAGTAAATCATACCTCTCTCTAAATAATCACAATAGCCAGTAAATCATACCTCTCTCTAAATAATCACGACAGTCAGTAAATCATATCTCTCTCTAAATAATCACAACAGTCAATAAATCATACCTCTCTCTAAATAATCACAACAGTCAGTAAATCATACCTCTCTCTAAATAATCACAACAGTCAGTAAAATCATACCTCTCATTAAATAATCAGTAAATCATACCTCTCTCTAAATAATCACAACAGTCAGTAAATCATACCTCTCTCTGAATAATCACGACAGTCAGTAAATCATACCTCTCTCTGAATAATCACGACAGTCAGTAAAATCATACCTCTCATTAAATAATCAGTAAATCATACCTCTCTCTAAATAATCACGACAGTCAATCAATCATACCTCTCTCTAAATAATCACGACAGTCAGTAAAATCATACCTCTCTCTAAATAATCACGACAGTCAGTAAAATCATACCTCTCTCTAAATAATCACGACAGTCAGTAAATCATACCTCTCTCTGAATAATCACGACAGTCAGTAAAATCATACCTCTCTCTGAATAATCACGACAGTCAGTAAAATCATATCTCTCTCTAAATAATAACGACAGTCAGTAAAATCATACCTCTCTCTAAATAATCACGACAGTCAGTAAAATCATATCTCTCTCTAAATAATCACGACAGTCAATAAATCATACCTCTCTCTAAATAATAACGACAGTCAGTAAAATCATATCTCTCTCTAAATAATAACGACAGTCAGTAAAATCATACCTCTCTCTAAATAATCACGACAGTCAATAAATCATACCTCTCTCTAGATAATCACGACAGTCAATAAATCATACCTCTCTCTAAATAATCACGACGGTCAATAAATCATACCTCTCTCTAAATAATAACGACAGTCAGTAAATCATACCTCTCTCTAAATAATCACAACAGCCAATAAATCATACCTCTCTCTAAATATTCACGACAGTCAGTAAAATCATACCTCTCTCTAAATAATCACGACGGTCAATAAATCATACCTCTCTCTAAATAATCACAACAGTCAATAAATCATATCTCTGTCTAAATAATAACGACAGTCAGTAAATCATACCTCTCTCTAAATAATCACAACAGCCAATAAATCATACCTCTCTCTAAATAATAACGACAGCCAGTAAATCATACCTCTCTCTAAATAATCACAACAGCCAATAAATCATACCTCTCTCTAAATATTCACGACAGTCAGTAAAATCATACCTCTCTCTAAATAATCACGACAGTCAATAAATCATATCTCTCTCTAAATAATCACGACAGTCAGTAAATCATACCTCTCTCTAAATAATCACGATAGTCAGTAAAATCATACCTCTCTCTAAATAATCACGATAGTCAATAAATCATACCTCTCTCTAAATAATCACGATATTCAATAAAATCATTTGGTTAATGCGTTACCGTTAATGAGAGCTCTCGTACCTTGCATTTTGGATAATGCATTACCTTTGATGAGAGCTCTCGTACCTTGCATTTTGGTTAATGCATTACCTTTGATTAGAGCTCTCGTACCTTGCATTTTGGTTAATGCATTACCTTTGATGAGAGCTGTCGTACCTTACATTTTGGATAATGCATTGACCTGCATTAACTACGTATCCAACTGGTCAAGAGCATGCTGGATTAATAGTTCATTTTATTTCATCTAAAAGTTGAGTTTTTACGGCAAAATTCTTGGAAACATTTGGCTTAGAGTATCCATAAGAAATGACAGAGGTATTTCTGAATTGAGAATTTGGTGGTAAGTTAGCTTGGACGAAATCATAGTATTTACTTCCTTGTTTACATGTTGATCTTTCGTTATTGTTTGCTTTGTTTATTTGCTGGGCTTATTGCTCTACCAAGAAAAAAGCCCAAATATTTTGCCGGGGAGAAATGAAAAGTTCTTGACGAGTTTCATCAATCTAAAATGAAATAGAAACGAATGTAAGATTCTGTTTTTTGTAATTGCTCCAAGACTTTAGTTCCGGGGTTTGCTGTAACCTTTAGATTGCTCATAGACTTCAGTCTCGGGGTTTGCTGTAACCTTTAGATTGCTTCTAGACTTTAGTCCCGGGGTTTGCTGTAACCTTTAGATTGCTCCTAGATTTTAGTCCCGATGTGCTGTAACATTAAGATTTCTCCTAGACCTTAGTCCCGGGGATTGTTGTAACCTTTAGATTGTTCCGAGACTTTAGTTCCGGGGTTTGCTGTAACCTTTAGATTTCTCCTGGACTTTAGTTCCCGGGTTTGCTGTAACCTTTAGATTGCTCCTAAACTTTAGACTCGGGGTTAGCTGTAACCTTTAGATTGTTCCGAGACTTTAGTTCCGGGGTTTGCTGTAACCTACATGCCACGTTTTAATTAATTTGAATGGTTGCAATGTTATTCGTGTAAACATGTACTTTTCATTCTCTTGAAATAACTGAAAACCGTATCATTTGTTGACTTGTGGTTAGTGCAACTGCCTATCATTTTTGTGACATTTCGTTTGATCAGTTTTGATTCTTTTTTAGTCGTCATCTAGGTTTCAACACTTTATGTTCTTAGCATCATTGATGAGTCCTAGAAGGACAAAACAGCTGTATGATACAGCATCAACGACGAGTCCTAGAAGGACAAAACAGCTGTATGATACAGTTTGATGGATATTTTGCATAGTTCTACTGTATCTTATCTGAGAAAAATTCCACAAGGTAATTGTAAAGATAATATTAAAGTATACTTAAGCTGGTAAGTAATCCCTATTAATACAAGTTTTGTGGATATATCAAAACAACGTAATAAAGATGGGACCCACTTAAAATACAAATCGATGTTTGAAAATACGAAGTTCGCGAGGCCGTCACGAAAAACAGAAAATAAAACACACGTGAGAATCTACATTCTCAAATGCGCACGTGTAGTAGGAATGGGAAAATGCGACGGTTCGGCAAAGATTGTAAATGGTGGCATGTTTACATAATGTGAATATCAACAGTATTATACTCCGAATGGCACGGATAATGGTGATAGTCGATGTTCCCTTCAAGTTCTTGATTTGTTACGGTCCATCATCTGCAAATCACTACAACACTGGGGCACGCAATCGTTTGAAAAATGGAGTAAAAAAGATAGAAAAAACATGCTGTCTTTTCGTACAACATTATTTCATTTTTAATGAGAACAATTATTTTTTGAAATTTCGAAAAACATAATTGAAGTTATTCAGGTATTATACAAACGTTAAGAAATGTATAAAATGAACAGAACGGACATTATTATGTGATTAAAAAACCAAACAAACACACACACCAACACCACCACTACCACCACACGCACACACACACACAATAAACACACTCACACGCGCGCATACTCGCACAGACAAACTGTCGGAAGTCGGTACGTCTTCGGTTATTAGTGCTGTGGGACCTGTAGTGTTTAGTGTTGAATAGAGTGATGTCCCTTTAATCTCCAGGTGTCGTTTTGAAAGCTGAGCTGGAAATCATGATTGATTAGCTGGTGAGTAAGAAGTTGTCAAGGCTAATTAATCGATGTTCGGATCTTGTTTATATTGACACCTAACATTTTCGTAAGATATGTCAGTAGAGTTCTCACAGGAACATCGTCCATACACATCAGACATGGATAAAAGTTGACAACACCTTGTAGCACGTTGAGTCATTTTCGGTACTTTCGGTTAGAAAAAATTGCAGTGACTTTATGTATCTTTATATATCTTTTACGCAGTCACTAGCGATCATAGCTATTACTACTGAAAAGTGGAAATAACACTAGTAACAACTAATTCATCGCTTATGTATTGTGAAAAAACAACAACAAACAAATCTGCTTTATCACTCGATACACTGTATGGTAGACCTGATCTACTGTACGAACCATGTATAGTATTAGTTAATTGAGATCGCTGCCTTTACACCTCCTACATCCATGACCAATACAACTAATTCATAATTATACAACGCCAAGTAATTTCAGAATAGAATTGTACACAGTGATGATTGAAAAGAGATGATTACAATACGTTAGTTGTCATACAAGTTATAATTGTATACGGTATAGTGTCTCATTTTCACTCTGTAAACCATTACACTTAAGGCGCTTACAATTGTGGATATGTAATGATTGCAGAATGTGTTGCTTCAAAGTGTCAACTTTACAGCGATAATGTTTTATCGTGTTGCTCTACTGGATTATCACTTACCAACATGGCAAGGGAGAATTTTTCTATAGCTCATTCAGTAGAGTGTTTAGTAAGCCAGAGATCCTGAGTTTAGTCTCTTATTATCAGGCCCTATATCTGTATGTTGACAATCTTTGAAAGCTCCCTAGCCAAGCGAGTTCCATAATTGATATTTTACGTTTTTTGAAATACATCAATAAAATAAAGGATAATCTGTGTATAATTCATTTGCAAACTTTGTTAAATGTTTTGCTGATGATCTGGATTGATAAATTGCCTTTCATTTGTTGTCTGTTATATTAACAAACTTTGGTTAACATAAAGGTTACCACATCATAAGGGTGCAGCTTATATTCCGGTGCATTTAATATGTAGATCAAATAAAAAAAAGGTTAAAATTGGCTATGCAGCTTATGTAATTCAGTACCTGGATATACATATATTTTTATGTACCAATTTGGCAATGTTGATGAAATCAATTTACAACAGCAGTAACTGGGTATATAGTTATGCATGCGCATGACACCAGCACAATGTACTTTATTAAATTTTGTATTATACAAATGTTTATTTCATTTCAGGGATGAACATGTTACATAGAAAAGTTAAAGAAAAAAAACCTGACTTAAGGTAAGTAAAATTTGTTTAAAAATGTAGTGAGTGTGGTAAATGTTCCCAGACAGAATTTGATGCTGTCTTTCATGCTTTAGTTTATCACATGCATTTATTGACCAACTTCATGTTTACACACAATATATACACATTGAATGTAATGTCTAGACAGGACCAAATTTTTTTCAAATTGTTGCAGAGCTTTTGTTAGTCAAAGGAATTGTATGACAAAGTTTAATGTTGGGTTTATCGTTTGGATGTCTGACCTGGTAGGCTTTGTTTTATATCTCAGTATCGTAATGTATGTATGATCATTAATCACTATAGTATATTGTTATGACACAGCTAACTTGCAGCTTGAGTCACTTGTTGATGTAAAGAAAGGCCTGAAAAGTGACCACTGTATATTTAGAGGATACTTAATGGTTTCCCATTTAAAATTTATATTTTTTACATGTGTAAAGCACAAGTGAAGAAGACATACTTTGTCATATGAGTATTATTTTTACGAATTATTTGTTACAATTCTAAAAGAAAACAAATGAAAAAGCAGGTCTAAACCTAAAATAAAGTGGTGCTGAAAAAAGTTGAAAAAATATTAGTGTGTTTTTTTATGTCCGATAATAGGACCTCAGACTTCACAACAAGTTGTGCCATTTTGAAAAGGCTGCCATCTTGTGCTATTATTTAGTAAAAATCACTTACAAATCTATTTGATGGAAAAACAAGTTATTCAGCCTTTGCTTTGTTTGCACAAAAAAATGGTGAATTTCAATGCTGTAACTAGAAAGCAATACTCTGTTTGGTCAAAACTACCAAAGTTATATCATCGTTGGAAAAGATATATTATCACTGGAAAATTACTACAAAATTCTGTATTTCAGTGGTAAAGATAAAGTACTACTAGGTTCTTGTTTACAGGGAATCAAGGGTTGATAATTGTTTCCACTCCAACATGTTTACCTACAGTAGAATATCCCTTTTTTCTAGATTAATGATGCAGTGGCTATGGTAATAATAGACAAGTCTGTATGATGTAGCAGTAGTGATTTAGAATCAGTACAGCCAATAGTCATATTGATTCGGTAGCTACCAACACATAACAGCTTGTACATGTAATTTGTTGGTCCATACCAACTATAGGCTCTAGTGTTTTATGATGAGATAATGATGGTCAGCTCATTACACAGTGAGGAAACTGAGGGGTATGTTTATGTGTGTCCCCATGTACAATGATTCTCCTGAGTTCAGATATTGGAAACGTGGGTTTTCTGTGAGATTCTGAGTTTTGTTGAAGACACATGAGTGTTCTGTGAGATTCTGAGTTTTGTTGAAGACACATGAGTGTTCTGTGAGATTCTGAGTTTTGTTGAAGACACATGAGTGTTCTGTGAGATTCTGAGTTTTGTTGAAGACACATGAGTGTTCTGTGAGATTCTGAGTTTTGTTGAAGACACATGAGTGTTCTGTGAGATTCTGAGTTTTGTTGAAGACACATGAGTATTCTGTGAGATTCTGAGGTTTGTTGAAGACACATGAGTGTTCTGTGAGATTCTGAGTTTTGTTGAAGACACATGAGTGTTCTGTGAGATTCTGAGTTTTGTTGAAGACACATGAGTGTTCTGTGAGATTCTGAGTTTTGTTGAAGACACATGAGTATTCTGTGAGATTCTGAGGTTTGTTGAAGACACATGAGTGTTCTGTGAGATTCTGAGTTTTGTTGAAGACACATGAGACATGTGTTTTATGAGGTTTTGAGTTTTAACATTGGAGACATGTGTTTTATGAGGTTTTGAGTTTAAACATTGGAGACGTGTTTGATGAGATTTTCAGTGTAGACAGTTGCTGACAATGTTACTTTATAGTAATTGTCTTGCTATGTGGCGATTGGTAAGTACCATGAAAATCTGTGCATCTAATAAGCAGGTGATATGATGGACCTTTGGACACCTGTGATTGGAACATTTGTTGGAGCATGGGACTAGTCGTTTGGGATAATGTTAAGGACAGTGTGTCACACATACCTGTTAGACACTGGACAAAATGGCTATTATGAGTAGGAGTCAGAGGCTAGAAATTATAATCTATTTGGGGTGCAGAGGTGACTGGTCACATCACCAACACTACATGTTTGTTATGTGTGATACTGAGGTGACTGGACACATCACCAACACTACATGTTTGTTATGTGTGATACTGAGGTGACTGGACACATCACCAACACTACATGTATGTTATGTGTGATACTGAGGTGACTGGTCACATCACCAACACTACATGTATGATATGTGTGATACTGAGGTGACTGGTCACATCACCAACACTACATGTATGATATGTGTGATACTGAGGTGACTGGACACATCACCAACACTACATGTATGTTATGTGGAATACTGAGGTGACTGGACACATCACCAACACTACATGTATGTTATGTGGGATACTGAGGTGACTGGACACATCACCAACACTACATGTATGTTATGTGGAATACTGAGGTGACTGGACACATCACCAACACTACATGTTTGTTATGTGTGATACTGAGGTGACTGGACACATCACCAACACTACATGTATGTTATGTGTGATACTGAGGTGACTGGACACATCACCAACACTACATGTATGTTATGTGTGATACTGAGGTGACTGGACACATAACCAACACTACATGTATGTTATGTGTGATACTGAGGTGACTGGACACATAACCAACACTACATGTATGTTATGTGGAATACTGAGGTGACTGGACACATCACTAACACTACATGTATGTTATGTGTGATACTGAGGTGACTGGTCACATCACCAACACTACATGTATGTTATGTGTGATACTGAGATGACTGGTCACATCACCAACACTACATGTATGATATGTGTGATACTGAGGTGACTGGACACATAACCAACACTACATGTATGTTATGTGGAATACTGAGGTGACTGGACACATCACCAACACTACATGTATGTTATGTGGGATACTGAGGTGACTGGACACATCACCAACACTACATGTATGTTATGTGGAATACTGAGGTGACTGGACACATCACCAACACTACATGTATGTTATGTGTGATACTGAGGTGACTGGTCACATCACCAACACTACATGTATGTTATGTGTGATACTGAGGTGACTGGTCACATCACCAACACTACATGTATGATATGTGTGATACTGAGGTGACTGGACACATAACCAACACTACATGTATGTTATGTGGAATACTAAGGTGACTGGACACATCACCAACACTACATGTATGTTATGTGGGATATTGAGGTGACTGGACACATCACCAACACTACATGTATGTTATGTGGAATACTGAGGTGACTGGACACATCACCAACACTACATGTATGTTATGTGTGATACTGAGGTGACTGGTCACATCACCAACACTACATGTATGTTATGTGTGATACTGAGGTGACTGGTCACATCACCAACACTACATGTATGATATGTGTGATACTGAGGTGACTGGACACATCACCAAAACTACATGTATGTTATGTGTGATACTGAGGTGACTGGACACATCACCAACACTACATGTATGTTATGTGTGATACTGAGGTGACTGGACACATCACCAACACTACATGTATGATATGTGTGATACTGAGGTGACTGGTCATATAACCAACACTACATGTATGTTATGTGGGATACTGAGGTGACTGGAAACATCACCAACACTACATGTATGTTATGTGTGATACTGAGGTGACTGGTCATATAACCAACACTACATGTATGTTATGTGTGATACTGAGGTGACTGGTCATATAACCAACACTACATGTATGTTATGTGTGATACTGAGGTGACTGGACACATCACCAACACTACATGTATGTTATGTGTGATACTGAGGTGACTGGTCATATAACCAACACTACATGTATGTTATGTGGAATACTGAGGTGACTGGACACATCACCAACACTACATGTATGTTATGTGTGATACTGAGGTGACTGGACACATCACCAACACTACATGTATGTTATGTGTGATACTGAGGTGACTGGTCATATAACCAACACTACATGTATGTTATGTGGAATACTGAGGTGACTTGACACATCACCAACACTACATGTATGTTATGTGTGAAACTGAGGTGACTGGTCATATAACCAACACTACATGTATGTTATGTGGAATACTGAGGTGACTGGACACATCACCAACACTACATGTATGTTATGTGTGATACTGAGGTGACTGGACACATCACCAACACTACATGTACTACATGTAAGTTATGTGTGTGATACTGAGGTGACTGGTCATATAACCAACACTACATGTATGTTATGTGGAATACTGAGGTGACTTGACACATCACCAACACTACATGTATGTTATGTGTGATACTGAGGTGACTGGTCATATAACCAACACTACATGTATGTTATGTGGAATACTGAGGTGACTGGACACATCACCAACACTACATGTATGTTATGTGTGATACTGAGGTGACTGGACACATCACCAACACTACATGTATGTTATGTGTGATACTGAGGTGACTGGTCATATAACCAACACTACATGTATGTTATGTGGAATACTGAGGTGACTTGACACATCACCAACACTACATGTATGTTATGTGTGATACTGAGGTGACTGGTCATATAACCAACACTACATGTATGTTATGTGGAATACTGAGGTGACTGGACACATCACCAACACTACATGTATGTTATGTGTGATACTGAGGTGACTGGACACATCACCAACACTACATGTATGTTATGTGTGATACTGAGGTGACTGGTCATATAACCAACACTACATGTATGTTATGTGGAATACTGAGGTGACTTGACACATCACCAACACTACATGTATGTTATGTGTGATACTGAGGTGACTGGTCATATAACCAACACTACATGTATGTTATGTGGAATACTGAGGTGACTGGACACATCACCAACACTACATGTATGTTGTGTGTGATACTGAGGTGACTGGACACATCACCAACACTACATGTATGTTATGTGTGATACCGAGGTGACTGGTCATATAACCAACACTACATGTATGTTATGTGGAATACTGAGGTGACTGGACACATCACCAACACTACATGTATGTTATGTGGGATACTGAGGTGACTGGACACATTACCAACACTACATGTATGTTATGTGTGATACTGAGGTGACTGGTCATATAACCAACACTACATGTATGTTATGTGGAATACTGAGGTGACTGGACACATCACCAACACTACATGTATGTTATGTGGGATACTGAGGTGACTGGACACATCACCAACACTACATGTATGTTATGTGTGATACTGAGGTGACTGGTCATATAACCAACACTACATGTATGTTATGTGGAATACTGAGGTGACTGGACACATCACCAACACTACATGTATGTTATGTGTGATACTGAGGTGACTGGTCATATAACCAACACTACATGTATGTTATGTGGAATACTGAGGTGACTGGACACATCACCAACACTACATGTATGTTATGTGTGATACTGAGGTGACTGGACACATCACCAACACTACATGTATGTTATGTGTGATACTGAGGTGACTGGTCATATAACCAACACTACATGTATGTTATGTGGAATACTGAGGTGACTTGACACATCACCAACACTACATGTATGTTATGTGTGATACTGAGGTGACTGGTCATATAACCAACACTACATGTATGTTATGTGGAATACTGAGGTGACTGGACACATCACCAACACTACATGTATGTTATGTGTGATACTGAGGTGACTGGACACATCACCAACACTACATGTATGTTATGTGTGATACTGAGGTGACTGGTCATATAACCAACACTACATGTATGTTATGTGGAATACTGAGGTGACTTGACACATCACCAACACTACATGTATGTTATGTGTGATACTGAGGTGACTGGTCATATAACCAACACTACATGTATGTTATGTGGAATACTGAGGTGACTGGACACATCACCAACACTACATGTATGTTGTGTGTGATACTGAGGTGACTGGACACATCACCAACACTACATGTATGTTATGTGTGATACCGAGGTGACTGGTCATATAACCAACACTACATGTATGTTATGTGGAATACTGAGGTGACTGGACACATCACCAACACTACATGTATGTTATGTGGGATACTGAGGTGACTGGACACATTACCAACACTACATGTATGTTATGTGTGATACTGAGGTGACTGGTCATATAACCAACACTACATGTATGTTATGTGGAATACTGAGGTGACTGGACACATCACCAACACTACATGTATGTTATGTGGGATACTGAGGTGACTGGACACATCACCAACACTACATGTATGTTATGTGTGATACTGAGGTGACTGGTCATATAACCAACACTACATGTATGTTATGTGGGATACTGAGGTGACTGGACACATCACCAACACTACATGTATGTTATGTGTGATACTGAGATGACTGGACACATCACCAACACTACATGTATGTTATGTGTGATACTGAGGTGACTGGTCATATAACCAACACTACATGTATGTTATGTGGGATGCTGAGGTGACTAGACACATAACCAACACTACATGTATGTTATGTGTGATACTGAACAATGGCCTTGGACATTGACTGTCTGTATTGATCCATGACCAATTATTGGTAGATTAATTAAGTTGGAGACAAAGTGTGTCTTTGTCTGCCAACACATCTGTTCTGTGTACCTCATTCACACTATCAATATTCACCTGTCTGATGACTGGTAGGAAACAATTCCCATGTGTTTCTCTCGGACATGATGGCTCCTGGTTTAGTATGGTATTGATTTATTATCCTGTTTTTGCCATTTCTTTGAGCACATTTTTAGAGATATATTACATACACGTTTAGTGATTTGTTATATTTTCTGATGATATAAATAGATATCTTTATGAGTGTGTATTCAAAGCATATCATAAGCAGTGTAATTCATTTTTACAGTTGATACATGTAAGAAAAACACATGGGGTTGGAAAGAAATGTACAACAAATAACGTTTCAGAACTAAGTGTCTGCCCTCTAGTACTGGTCTAATGATGTCACTGAGGATGGAGACATGAATGGTGTGTGTGATGTTAAATACTGGATGTATGTCAGTGTCTGCCCTCTAGTACTGGTTTAATGATGTCACTGAGGATGGAGACATGAATGGTGTGGGTGATGTTAAATACTGGATGTATGTCAGTGTCTGCCTCTAGTGCTGGTCTAATGATGTCACTGAGGATGGAGACATGAATGGTGTGGGTGATGTTAAATACTGGATGTATGTCAGTGTCTGCCCTATAGTACTGGTCTAATGATGTCACTGAGGATGGAGACATGAATGGTGTGGGTGATGTTAAATATTGGATGTATGTCAGTGTCTGCCCTCTATTACTGGTCTAACAATGTCACTGAGGATGGAGACATGAATGGTGTGGGTGATGTTAAATACTGGATGTATGTCAGTGTCTGCCCTCTATTACTGGTCTAACGATGTCATTGAGGATGGAGACATGAATGGTGTGGGTGATGTTAAATACTGGATGTATGTCAGTGTCTGCCCTCTAGTACTGGTCTAACGATGTCATTGAGGATGGAGACATGCATGGTGTGGGTGATGTTAAATACTGGATGTATGTCAATGTCTGCCCTCTAGTACTGGTCTAATGATGTCACTGAGGATGGAGACATGAATGGTGTGGGTGATGTTAAATACTGGATGTATGTCAGTGTCTGCCCTCTAGTACTGGTCTAATGATGTCACTGAGGATGGAGACATGAATGGTGTGGGTGATGTTAAATACTGGATGTATGTCAGTGTCTGCCCTCTAGTACTGTCTAATGATGTCACTGAGGATGGAGACATGAATGGTGTGGGTGATGTTAAATACTGGATGTAAGTCAGTGTCTGCCGTCTAGGATTGTGATAGTTGAATGAGGGTACTCTCATAATGACAAGTATTTGAAAGTATATATGTGGAGTGGCCATTATATTTACATAACATTTTGGTAGGTGAAAAATTTCTCTTTATAATTACTTGCTTGATAATTATTGATAAGATTTAATAGTGAATTAAAGGATGTGCTCATGACTGATTTTTACTTGCTCTCAGAAAACCAAATTGCTCAATTAAATGTTTCATCTAAAACAACAGGATTGGGTTACAAATTAAGTACTCTGTACTCACAAGTTAAAAGGGTTGTTAGCTGAGATCAGGCTAAGCCATTTGACCTAACCCAAGGTGACTGGGCTACCTTCTCTGACCCACACACAGATTACACACTTTGTTCCTTGTCTGGTCTTTTCCTTGTTTTCCTTACCAGTAAATCCCCGTGGGAATTGTAGCTTTCTGCAAGACTGATAAGGCTTCAGAGGCTGTTGATTTCATCTTCCAGCCAAAGTAACAAGCCAGTTGACTCCGGCTAGGTGTATAGTGCTGAGCTGGTGTATCTGTAATATCATTTTTTGTATCTATATCAATAGTGTATGTTTTGGTAAAACAGAGGATGTTGACTTGAATACACACAGTGAGAAACAGCTGTTGGAACGACCTTAATAGACTTAAAGCTATTGATCTAGTGTGGAATACTAGCAACTTGCTACACAGGACAGGACCAGAGTGTAAAAGTTCTACTGAGGAACACACAACTTATCAAAACTCCTATAAGGAGGACTTCCGACTCAACAAGGTCCTGAGTTATACAATGTAGTGACTATTTTGGAACATTTCATCACATTTCACATCATTACATGTAGTGACTAGTCGTGCTCTGGTGACTTTTGTTTACTCTATGGGATAATTAACACTGACTAGGATTAAATGAAACCTAAGTGGATTGGTTCTTTATGAAACATATGTAGTAGTATTGTGTTAAGTCAGATAACAACACAGTTGTGGTGAAACAAAGTGTGGCGAGATGTGATGTCTGCTACAACTAGTGTTTTAGACATGTCAGCATGACTTGTATAAACCTGCTTCAGTGAGGATGTAACCATCAGAGTGGAACTCTATACAGGTACAAGGGTTGTATGTTGTTAACACTTACCATACCTGAACATGTATTGCTGATGTTCATACCACAGTTTCTTTACACACTATACATAATACATACAATTTTAACCAGCCTGATGAAAGCAGTTTCCATTGATCATTCAACCATGACACTGCTAAAATGACATGTTTTCACATCACAGTTGTCAATGTTAGCAATTGATTTTTGAAGAATTTTCTCTTGATTGTTATTTGTATTGTGTTTATCTAATGATCAGCTGATGTAAGTCTGTTGTAAGAAAAATCACAATCTAGAAAATATTTTAGCAAAAGCATTTTTAAAATCTTCGGCTTCACTGAATGTACTACTAATGTGTTCAAAATTTGATATATCTAACACAGGTCATTATTCATTTGGATGCCTCCACTAGGAATCAAACTCTTGACTTAGCTAGTGTAATGCTCCACCAATCGGGTTCTCTCTAACAAAGAAATGATTACGGCTAGTTATACTAGGGTTACATTTTTCCTAACCAAGCAATATTTAGTATTTACCAGGGTTACATTCTCCCTAGCCAAGCTATATATTGTGGCTAGTATTTACCAGGGTTACATGCTCTCTAGTGTGACAGGGATGCTCCAGGGTTATATTCTCTCTAGCGTGACAGGGATGCTCCAGGGTTACATTCTCTCTAGCGTGACAGGGATGCTCCAGGGTTACATTCTCTCTAGCCTGACAGGGATGCTCCAGGGTTACATTCTCTCTAGCGTGACAGGGATGCTCCAGGGTTACATTCTCTCTAGCCTGACAGGGATGCTCCAGGGTTACATTCTCTCTAGCCTGACAGGGATGCTCCAGGGTTACATTCTCTCTAGCGTGACAGGGATGCTCCAGGGTTACATTCTCTCTAGCGTGACAGGGATGCTCCAGGGTTACATTCTCTCTAGCGTGACAGGGATGCTCCAGGGTTACATTCTCTCTAGCGTGACAGGGATGCTCCAGGGTTACATTCTCTCTAGCCTGACAGGGATGCTCCAGGGTTACATTCTCTCTAGCGTGACAGGGATGCTCCAGGATTACATTCTCTCTAGCCTGACAGGGATGCTCCAGGGTTACATTCTCTCTAGCGTGACAGGGATGCTCCAGGGTTACATTCTCTCTAGTGTGACAGGGATGCTCCAGGGTTACATTCTCTCTAGCGTGACAGGGATGCTCCAGGGTTACATTCTCTCTAGCGTGACAGGGATGCTCCAGGGTTACATTCTCTCTAGCGTGACAGGGATGCTCCAGGGTTACATTCTCTCTAGCGTGACAGGGATGCTCCAGGGTTACATTCTCTCTAGCGTGACAGGGATGCTCCAGGGTTACATTCTCTCTAGCGTGACAGGGATGCTCCAGGGTTACATTCTCTCTAGCGTGACAGGGATGCTCCAGGGTTACATTCTCTCTAGCGTGACAGGGATAAACCAGGGTTACTTTACATATTGGCTATAAGCTGTGAATTTGCAGTACATTCAGAAACAAAAATAACAACTAAGGTTGTAGAAGATGTTTATGATGAATAACAACCATTCAAACTGAAGGCTTCAACATCACAATGATAATTTGGTAGAGATTTTCTGTTATAGTCCTTGTGTAACACAAAGTGGCTTCAACATCACAATGATAATTTGGTAGAGATATTCTGTTATAGTCCTTGTGTAACTCAAAGTGGCTTCAGCATCACCATGATAATTTGGTAGAGATATTCTGTTATAGTCCTCGTGTAACACAAAGTGGCTTCAGCATCACCATGATAATTTAGTAGAGATTTTCTGTTATAGTCCTCGTGTAACACAAAGTGGGGAGTACCTATGGAGAGGATTTTGGCATTGTTGTCAGGTGTCACGTCATGATCATGAAAATAAGGGTGGAAGCAACATTTTTTACCAGTATTGCAAACGAAGAACCACTTAAATATATCCTCCTTTGGTTTGATGTTCCAAAGAAGGAAGCTATGTACAAACATGATGTACTTTTTTATGGATAAAGTCAGATATACTAGTATATAATGAATCAATATCGGTGTCCTGATGTACACAGCCTGTTTCTCAGGCATCCAGATATACTAGCATCTATATATAGAAAATACAGGTACTGTTAATTTGTGTTTGTATATTACAGATATAGATGAATGGTCACATAGGAGTTTAAATGGGGGCCTGCTACTCCAAGTCAGGCCATGATGCTTTGGAAACTCCTAATCAGAAACAGCCGCACCCCCGGCACCACAAGAATGGTGTAGCAGTGAGATATTCCTCCCCTGCTGCCCAGACCTCCCTCCCAAACAGTCACAAGTCTAATGGTGGTGTCGCTCAGAATGCCGAAGAGGATAAAGAAGGGGAGGGTAAAAAGGCTGTGGTGAATTCTGGTGTTGGTGTGGCCCCATCAGACAGTGGTATAGAGAGCCTTTCCCCCAGTGAGGCAGAGGAGCGCATTGGGAGCCACACCACCAATAGTGAGGGAAAAGACAGTGGGACAGAATTGTGTAGGGAAGTCGACCAATGTGCCTATGACCCTCCCACGGCCTGGCACAGTGTTCAAACAAGACGTGGTGAGTGTAGAACTCAGATATCTAGTCCGTCCAAATTGGCCAATAGAAAATCTGATATTGTAATTCTCAAACCAAGTTTAAAGAAAGCAGGTGAAAAATCTGATAAAAAGTATAGGTTATCATGGAAGTCAACAGACAGTTTAGACTGGACAGGAACTTTATTGACAAGCCTCGACCGCTGTCAGAGTGAGGCCTCGGAGTTTGGTGGGGATGATCTGAGTATCCGTGCCCCCTTAGCAGAGTTTGATTCCATTGATTTCTTGGGGAGCACTGAATTACTATCCAATAAAAAAAGAACAAGCAGTTTTGTTGATTATAATTCCGAAACATTTCAATTTCAATTTGATTTTTCTGGATTAGAATCCCACAGGAAGTACAAATCTTGTGACTCCGCACCAGTGACTCCCCAAAGTGAGGAACCTCCGTCAGTCATTGGTGCGGAACATGTCACTGTGGATATACCACATTCCAAGCGATCCTCCCGTGACCTCAGGTAAGTTCGGACAGGTATACTTTTACTTTCCTTGGCTTGCTTGTAACCGTCTAACTTACTTTTCATCCCAGTGGTGGTGGCCACCTTTTTCGTGATTACTTTGACTTTTATTGCAGTTGCTACTTTGAAGATTCCCGAATATGCATGACATTTCACCACAACTTTTATTAATATTTTTTTAAGTTTCTCTAGCTTTCTTGAGAGCAAGCCAGAAATATACGCGCAAAAAGCTTTGATGTAAAATTAGATTAAGTTAATGTAATGATTGATAATTAGACGGAATCTTTGTTTAAATATGGAATTGATACATTGGGCGTGGTGTCAGACTTTTCTTGATGTTTGTTGTACTGCTGTGCTAGTTTGTTATACCGATGTCGTAATTCTGTGAATGTGTTGGTCTGTTTCTCATAGTCTACGTTATCATGTTTTATAATAAGATTAATCAAAGGCAGTGTGTACATGTACTTATGATTAAAATAGCTAATTTTTATGTCTTTGCTAATACCTAAGAGCTTATTAATTACTTAGAGTCTCTAACCTGATGGTTGAATCTAGTCTATATGATGTACATTGTTAATTTTCAAACAGTTTGATGTAAAGATATTATCAATTCTAGACAGGATTAGGCACAAACTGTTACAACTCGGCACCACATTCTCCATATATGTTATATATATTTACTAGAATTATGTAAAAATTCTCAGTGTCCAGTAACTAAAGTGACCATGTAAAAAATCAGACGATGAAAATGAAAGTGCTGATGTTTTACAGCTCCTCAGGTTTTTTAGTTTATCAACTTAAACTACATAATTTTATATGTGCAGTTTATTGTCACACTACTTATTCATTTTTGCAAGTTCTTTTATAAGTTCAGTAATCTCAGCTCCTGTGAAAAGAACAATTTTTGCTAATTTTAGAAGTTTTTGAAATCAGTTTATCAATTGGCATCTTTATGTTGCACTTGAAACAAGAAATATTATATATGGACTTGTAGGATTCAGATTTCATCTTAATCACAGATCTTTTTAATTATCTAATATTAGTGCTTGATTCAGCTAATTATGCTTACAGGCACCTAGATACGTGGTAATCATTGCTACTGTAGGCACTCTGCTGCTTGGTTGGTGTGACAGATGGACATTTGTTTTGTTATAAAGAAACATTATTTGATGTGAAAATGAGTGGTGTGGCAGCTGTTTTAGTTTATATTATATGGAAATTTTATGAATCGTATAGAATGTAACACAGGGGATATAAACATATCTTTAGATTGATAAATGATTCCTGGTTAGTCACCTTTTTATACTATTTTATTGTATAATAATCAGGGCAATTAAACCTGCTTGTTTAAGTAGGCGTGGCACTTGTAAACATTTGTAAGTAGTTCTGTACATGAAAGGTGATAGTTTTGTAGTGAACACCTAGCTTTTGCAACTACATCTCTGAAACTATCACCTATTAGTAGTAATCATGACCTGTATATTGAAGGTTTGACCTGTGTTCAGGAACCACCTGTAGTGTACTACTGCGGTCAGTAATTACATATACAGATATTTCAAATTGTAAATGAGAGGATTTTGTCACTACATTTTATATTATGTTCTTAGAGATGTAAGCATTCATAGATAAATTGTTTATAATGTATATCTTTGTGTAAGTGGTAAAGAATCGCAAAGTGAACGGTGAATATTGTTATACTGTCATGACTGATCAGTGTTGATAAGTTACTGTCACGACTGATCAGTGTTGATAAGTATAATGAAAGTGAACGGTGAATATTGTTATACTGTCACGACTGATCAGTGTTGATAAGTATAATGAAAGTGAACGGTGAATTTCGTTATACTGTCAGGACTGATCAGTGTTGATAAGTATAATGAAAGTGAACAGTGAATTTCGTTATACTGTCAGGACTGATCAGTGTTGAAAAGTATCATGAAAGTGAATGGTTAATTTCGTTATACTGTCACGACTGATCAGTGTTGAAAAGTATCATGAAAGTGAATGGTTAATTTCGTTATACTGTCACAACTGATCAGTGTTGATAAGTTACTGTCACGACTGATCAGTGTTGATAAGTTACTGTCACGACTGATCAGTGTTGATAAGTATAATGAAAGTGAACGGTGAATATTGTTATACTGTCACGACTGATCCGTGTTGATAAGTTACTGTCACGACTGATCCGTGTTGATAAGTTACTGTCATGACTGATCAGTGATGATAAGTTACTGTCACGACTGATCAGTGTTGATAAGTATAATGAAAGTGAACAGTGAATATTGTTATACTGTCATGACTGATCAGTGTTGATAAGTTACTGTCACGACTGATCAGTGTTGATAAGTATAATGAAAGTGAATGGTGAATTTCGTTATACTGTCACGACTGATCAGTGTTGATAAGTATAATGAAAGTGAATGGTGAATTTCGTTATACTGTCACAACTGATCAGTGTTGATAAGTATAATTAAGGAATCAGCATTGGAACTAAACCAACCACTTATCTTCAAACACACAGGAGCTAGTATACAGCTGATAGCCCCTGATGTTGTTATCTTGTAGTGAACCAGATTATGTTGGGGTATCAGGTGAACACTTAGCAGCTGTAGTACTTCCTATTTCCCTCCTATTACCTGTTTAGACCAATCTAGTCCAATATGTAAATTAGTTGCTTATATTACTAGTGATTTTGATTGCTTCTGCTGAGCTTTATCAGTTGTTGGTTGCCGACATCAGGATCTACCAAGTGGAAGACAGAGAAAACATTATGTGTGATGATACTGATAGGGACTGTTTATACTTTGTCACACTGTTTAACCATCTCTCATCATTACTCATTTGTCGTACACCATCATCTTCAGATAGGCCAGGTTCAGCATACTCAAAATAAATTGAACGAAAAAAAAAGGTTTCAGTTAACTTTAATGAAAATGATGAAGCCATCAATTATAGACATTGACAGTTTTAACATGAATCGGAGCAAGGTATGATAGAACGGAATGTTCAGTGCCTCCCTTATCATTGGCCATTATTCATCTTTATCAGGTCTTTATACAATTTATAGTGTCATGATTATCTTGGACAAGTTTGAGTTTCAGGATTGTTGGGCCAAGGTCAGGGTCTTTGTTGCTAGAAAATTTGAATCCTTACTTTGTATAAATAGCTTGTAGGGGAGGTATGATACAGGGTTTCAAGGTTATTGGGCCAAGGTCAGGGTCTTTGTTGCTAGAAAATTTGAATCCTTACTTTGTATAAATAGCTTGTAGGGGAGGTATGATACAGGGTTTCAAGGTTATTGGGCCAAGGTCAGGGTCTTTGTTGCTAGAAAATTTGAATCCTTACTTTGTATAAATAGCTTGTAGGGGAGGTATGATACAGGGTTTCAAGGTTATTGGGCCAAGGTCAGGGTCTTTGTTGCTAGAAAATTTGAATCCTTACTTTGTATAAATAGCTTGTAGGGGAGGTATGATACAGGGTTTCAAGGTTATTGGGGCCAAGGTCAGGGTCTTTGTTGCTAGAAAGTATGAATCCTTACTTTGTATAAATAGCTTGTAGGGGAGGTATGATACAGGGTTTCAAGGTTATTGGGCCAAGGTCAGGGTCTTTGTTGCTAGAAAATTTGAATCCTTACTTTGTATAAATAGCTTGTAGGGGAGGTATGATACAGGGTTTCAAGGTTATTGGGCCAAGGTCAGGGTCTTTGTTGCTAGAAAATTTGAATCCTTACTTTGTATAAATAGCTTGTAGGGGAGGTATGATACAGGGTTTCAAGGTTATTGGGGCCAAGGTCAGGGTCTTTGTTGCTAGAAAGTATGAATCCTTACTTTGTATAAATAGCTTGTAGGGGAGGTATGATACAGGGTTTCAAGGTTATTGGGCCAAGGTCAGGGTCTTTGTTGCTAGAAAATTTGAATCCTTACTTTGTATAAATAGCTTGTAGGGGAGGTATGATACAGGGTTTCAAGGTTATTGGGCCAAGGTCAGGGTCTTTGTTGCTAGAAAGTATGAATCCTTACTGTTTATAAATAGCTTGTAGGGGAGGTATGATACAGGGTTTCAAGGTTATTGGGCCAAGGTCAGGGTCTTTGTTGCTAGAAAGTATGAATCCTTACTGTGTATAAATAGCTTGTAGGGGAGGTATATATATATATTGCTTCAATTTGATTGATACATCTTTATTTAGATTAGTGACAGTTTAATCACTTGCAGGTCTTGCTGAAACATAATGGTATTGACTTGGGAAACTTTCCCTTGTGTACATGTAATAACCTGGGGTGTATTTTTTTGGGGGGTCAATTACTGGTATGTAAAGTAAAAAATCATTGTTAATGTATATATTACACCCTTGGATATTTTTTGTTAGTACCAAATGAATATTTTTTGTTGGTATATATATCAAACATTGGATTTTTTGTGGGTATGTATGTATATATATGTATTTATATTGTTTTCGGATGTTTTTGAAGTATATACATAACATTCAATATTGTCAGTATATGTTGACCTTGGATATTTTTGTCAGTATATGTTGACCGTGGATATTGTTGTCAGTATATGTTGACCTTGGATATTGTTGTCAGTATATGTTGACCTTGGATATTTTTGTCAGTATATTTTTGACCTTGGATATTGTTGTCAGTATATGTTGACCTTGGATATTGTTGTCAGTATATGTTGACCTTGGATATTTTTGTCAGTATATGTTGACCTTGGATATTGTTGTCAGTATATGTTGACCTTGGATATTTTTGTCAGTATATTTTTGACCTTGGATATTGTTGTCAGTATATGTTGACCTTGGATATTGTTGTCAGTATATGTTGACCTTGGATATTGTTGTCAGTATATGTTGACCTTGGATATTGTTGTCAGTATATGTTGACCTTGGATATTTTTGTCAGTATATGTTGACCTTGGATATTTTTGTCAGTATATATCAAACCTTGGATATTTTTTGTGTGTATGTATGTACATGTGCGTATATTGACTTTCGATACTTGTGTGTGTATATATATGAATGTGTATGTATAATGACCTTGAATTTTTTTTCAGGCATATGATGTATTCTTATGATATATGGTAACAAAAAGTAAAACGTAGGGTTGGATCATCAGGGCAGAATGATACTACAGATAAATGATAATCAGAAGTGTAAGAGTTGAGACCTGGTAAAACTCACCAACATTTCTGTACAAAAGTTTTAGTATAGATATTAACAGATGCTAGATTGTTCTGTAGTAAGTCCAACCTTTAATGAGGTTGTTAACCAAAATCAAAGGGCCTTAACTTTTGTAATACATATCCACTGGTACTTTGTATATTGCATTTTATATATATGAAATAGCCTCATCTTAAAATTGAACAGTCAGACAAATGTGTTTTATACATGTGACCAGCCTTTATCTAACAGAACAATGGACAATTTTGAAAGACATTCAAAACTGTCTTTAAGGCCACTCAATGGAACAGACAAAAGTGGCCTTTATACACAAGTAGTTTTTATACAGAGGTTCAATTACTATGAATTTCACTATGTATGGAACCAGAAAAGTGGTCTCTATACACAGGTGATGTTTGTATAAAGGTGGTCTTTAACACAGGTTTGACTGTATGTAATATTGTAGGATAAATATATTGCTTTATTTGTGTTCTGACTTTTTCTGAATTTTATTCTTCTTCTCTAAATGTATCCCACTAGGAGGTGTTAATGGGAGGCTAGATGATCAGCCTCCTATTTCCCATTAAGTGATAATTACAGTTTTGGTTATATAAAACATGTGGTGTCTAACTCAGGTCCCTGAGAGTGTAAGTACACTTACATTACTACTGCTACTCTTGTTTATGACCTTGCCACTTGAGAATGCTCAGTTGTACTGTAAATTTCTTAAATTTCAATAATTTCTCTGTTTTTCTTAAAGATTCTAATTATTTGTAAAAGAGTGGAGATACACTGAGCATCCAGTATATGAATAGAAGACATTTTGATTATTCTATAAATTCATTAATATAAAACTGTTTCTGACACTGTTTAAGAAATTTACAGTACATTGTTGCTAATCTTGGCCACTTGAATCCTACTGGAATGCTGACATACCCTCTGGTATTGCCAATATTTAGCTCCTGTTTGAATGTTGAGCAAATGCTTGAACCTGCCAAAGTGAACAAGAATATTGCATATCTCTCTTTTGACTATGTCTGCAGCCAAATCCTGCTAGCCCTGCTCTGATCAGATATGAATGTTGAGTAGTCTTTTGGAGGTGCTTTATATGAAGAAAGTGTTTGGTTTTGTCTTGCTATAATATTTCATAATTTATTACTGTTATTTTTCTCTAATGCTCCTATTTTCTGTAGGTGATAGGAATGTTGACCCTGCAATCTGATTCTGAGGTAAATTTCACACAATTAAATTAAAACGGAGAAATTAAGCATTGGTTGTAAGTGATAGTCTAGGGTGTAGAGAGCTACCAGCATGTGTTTACATAGTAACAGAATTAAAATAGACACAAGATTGATTCTCTTTCCCAAGTGTATTAGCATTTCTGTAAGAACATCGTCATTATTTGCTAGATCTGAAGGAGATGTCTCCAGGGGTTAAAATCATCAATATTTTTTCATCATGAAAGTTCAGATGTATTGTCATGACTTGTCTATGTTAAGCAGAGGATATACAAAAGTATAACACTTTCTTTGTTGAAGGAAAATGCTAGTTGCAGGTTTAACTGAATGGTTTGTCATCATTTTAATCCTTAATGGTTACAGTAAAAACAATAATTCCCTGCCTTGAGAGTAAGATCTCAACACTGACATTCTTGATATAAAGTCCCTGACAAATTCTGGCTTTAGACATTTTGTTTAGTAGCCCGTATCTCTCACCGGTTGTAGACATTTTTGGATGGCACCCTCATGGCCTTCCTTGTTTTTATACATTTGTTTATTTGCAAACTGTTGGTTTTTTCTTTGCTTTGGATGTCTGGAAGGACAAAGAATTGAAACCTGGTTTTGGATTTTCAATAGTAGATACATAAATGGCAGTCACAGATTAATTGCAGACATATGTCATAGTTTTAGACATTTCAGAGTGACAAATGCTTTGTAAGCCTCAGATTTTGGAAATCCTTTATATCAGTGTTTAGATTTTTTACATGTTGAACTAATAGCCTCAAGGAAGATTTTATTGTAAGTAGTAATGGTGTGTGTGTGATGCTGCAATAACCTTGTGTATATAGCTGTTAGTGTGGCTTGATCAATCAATGATAAATATGTGTATCGCAAGAATTCTATATATGTAATGGTTTTATTAGTTATGTTTGGTTTTAAGCACTATACATAGAGAGATGATCCACTTTGCTCTGTTTGCGCTTTAAATCTAGATTACAATTTCTTTGTACGTAGCATGATATTCCATAGATTTGGTTTTCAGGATGATATGACAACTGTTTACTCAAATGTCTTAAGAAAGTTGCAGCTTTCAGAAAGCAACACTTATTACTAATTCTTCTCCATAAACTTGTATATTATAAACCATACATGATCCCTGCCCGCCATTCTAGTGATTCAGAAAGGTGGTCCTCCAACTGTGGTAGAAGTATAATGTAGGAAGTCAATACAAAAAAGTCTGCCTTTTAAGTAAATCTGTGATAACTGTTCCTACTTGAGACGTACAGTAAAACAAAAGTTTGGGTGTTTACAGTGTTAAACATATCACATTTTTCCAGTTCCATCAATTGTATGAAAGAGTATATCACTATCGCAATGTTCCTTTATTGCTGTTAAAAAGTCTTTTTATAACAGTAAAACTGATTCCATGCTGAGCATGTATCACAGTTATATCAAGCTTCATGCCAGTATGAATCCCAATTAAAACAGACTCCATGCCAAGCATAAATATCATCCAAATCAGTCTGGCTCAAAACAGGTTCCATGTGGATCACAAGTCACAGTCAAAACAGGTTCCATGTGGATCACAAATCACAGTCAAAACAGACTGTGTGGATCACAAGTCACAGTCAAAACATGCTCCATGTGGATTACAAGTCACAGTCAAAACAGGCTCCATGTGGATCACAAATCACAGTCAAAACAGGCTCCATGTGGATCACAAGTCACAGTCAAAACAGACTCCATGTTGATCTCAAGTCACAGTCAAAACAGGCTCCATGTGGATTACAAGTCACAGTCAAAACAGACTGTGTGGATCACAAGTCACAGTCAAAACATGCTCCATGTTGATCTCAAGTCACAGTCAAAACAGGCTCCATGTGGATCACAAATCACAGTCAAAACAGACTGTGTGGATCACAAGTCACAGTCAAAACAGGTTCCATGTGGATCACAAATCACAGTCAAAACAGACTGTGTGGATCACAAGTCACAGTCAAAACAGGTTCCATGTGGATCACAAATCACAGTCAAAACAGACTGTGTGGATCACAAGTCACAGTCAAAACAGACTGTGTGGATCACAAGTCACAGTCAAAACAGGTTCCATGTGGATCACAAATCACAGTCAAAACAGACTGTGTGGATCACAAGTCACAGTCAAAACATGCTCCATGTTGATCTCAAGTCACAGTCAAAACAGGCTCCATGTGGATCACAAATCACAGTCAAAACAGATTGTGTGGATCACAAGTCACAGTCAAAACATGCTCCATGTGGATCACAAATCACAGTCAAAACAGGCTCCATGTGTATCACAAATCACAGTCAAAACAGATTGTGTGGATCACAAGTCACAGTCAAAACAGGTTCCATGTGGATCACAAATCACAGTCAAAACAGATTGTGTGGATCACAAGTCACAGTCAAAACATGCTCCATGTTGATCTCAAGTCACAGTCAAAACAGGTTCCATGTGGATCACAAATCACAGTCAAAACAGGCTCCATGTGGATCACAAATCACAGTCAAAACAGGCTCCATGTGGATCACAAATCACAGTCAAAACAGGCTCCATGTGGATCACAAGTCACAGTCAAAACAGGCTCCATGTTGATCTCAAGTCACAATCAAAACAGGCTCCATGTGGATCACAAGTCACAGTCAAAACAGGCTCCATGTGGATCACAAATCACAGTCAAAACAGGCTCCATGTGTATCACAAGTCACAGTCAAAACAGGCTCCATGTGGATTACAAGTCACAGTCAAAACAGGCTCTATGTGGATCTCAAGTCACAGTCAAAACAGGCTCCATGTGGATTACAAGTCACAGTCAAAACAGGTTCCATGTGGATCACAAATCACAGTCAAAACAGGCTCCATGTGGATCACAAGTCACAGTCAAAACAGGCTCCATGTTGATCTCAATCACAGTCAAAACAGGTTCCATGTGGATCACAAGTCACAGTCAAAACAGACTCCATGTGGATCACAAATCACAGTCAAAACATGCTCCATGTTGATCTCAAGTCACAGTCAAAACAGACTCCATGTGGATCACAAATCACAGTCAAAACAGGCTCCATGTGGATCACAAGTCACAGTCAAAACAGGCTCCATGTGTATCACAAGTCACAGTCAAAACAGGCTCCATGTGGATTACAAGTCACAGTCAAAACAGGTTCCATGTGGATCACAAGTCACAGTCAAAACAGACTCCATGTGGATCACAAGTCACAGTCAAAACAGGCTCCATGTGGATCACAAATCACAGTCAAAACAGGCTCCATGTGGATCTCAAGTCACAATCAATAAAGGTTCATGTGGATCACAATTTTTAGGTCACCTAAGTTGAACGCTCATGATGACCTATTGCAATTGACTTTTGTCCGGCATCATGTGCGTCATATACTTTTAACATTTTTGACTTCTAGAAAACACCTGAAGCAATTTCAGTGAAATTTTGCGGAAACTTTCCAGGGCCAAATTCACACCAAAAGTATAAATTATATGGTCCCCAACCCCTGGGGCCCGGAGGGGGCAGGGCCAAAAATGGGTCAAACTGATTGAAACTTCAAAAAAATTCTTTTCAATTCACAGATATGGTAGAATCGAATACTCTTCATGGATAGAAAAACCTTCAGATGCTTTACCAACATTGTGGATGTCATGATCCCAAGGTCTCACATTTCCCCTTGGGGAGGGGGTAAAGTTTACTATAGTTTATAGGAAAATTACATCCTTGAACATAATTTGTTTATTTTCTATTGGAAATAGTTTAAACCTGGTTAGAATTTTTAGTGCAAGGTGACAGTTTGATGCCCCCCCCCCTTCAGGGACTGATGGATCAAAAGGTGTCAGATTGACTTACAGTTCTAAAATTTTCTCAATACCCAAATACTGTTCATGGATGGATTTAAATTCAGACTTTGTTAGAAGTCTTAGCATGGGATGGCAGCTGTTATGCACTGTTACGTCTACATTTTAATTCCAAGTTTTCTTGGTTTTTTTAACAAGATAATTTGTATAACATGTTACCAGAAGCCTTGTAACTCAGGTGACCATTAAGGGCTTTCTTGTTTACATATTTTTACTATTCTACTGATTGATGTGAAAAACAAGCCACTGATATTTTAGAATACAAATAAACAACAATAGTCAATGAAAATAGAAAACTTGAAAACAAGCGTTAAATTGATATTCTTGTCTGCATTCTTTATGACTATAATTACAACAAAGAAACAGAATAATTGGTTTCAGCATACCTCAAACAAAGACATCTGTATTTGGTACAAGGTTCTCATGGATTAGTAGGTGATAGATACTCAGTGTAAAAAGTCTTGTCTCAGATCTGTTAATGATGTCTAGGTGATTCAACTGGGACCAGACATTTGATCAGGTACATCTAATATTAGACAGATCTCTC